TTGGTTATTCTATATTCTTATTTCAAAACAAAAAAAAAATGTGGCCACATATTTTTTTAAAATATTATTTAAAAAAACAAAAAACAAAGCTATTTTTTCTAATTTACATAGAACATTAAATATAATAAACTATTGATTATTTATTAATTTCAGTTATTTATTAAGAATTATTGATTTGTTTTCAAGTTTGATTTTTTTTTTCCTTCTTCTTTTCCCCTATTTTTTTTTATCTTTTAAGGGGTCCCAGGACATTGTTGTTTTAATCTCCTGACATTGGTCAGTAGAAATTATGCACAGGACTAAGGTGACAGTTTTGTGTTTAATTGTAATTGCTGATGCACCTAAGATTATGCAAAAAACAAAACAAAAAGCTATTGGAATGTTTAAAAACAAAACAAAAAGCTATTGGAATGGAACAAATTTTTATTACAGGCAATATATTAATGACAATAGATTGGAATTGCTGGATTAAAATATGGTTAATCTTTACACTGAATATTGTTGTTTGTTTATTTTACTTCATTCACTTTCATCCTCCATTTTTAATTTTCAGATTTGACTTTCCAAGGCAAGTTTTATAAATGATTTTTCAATTATATTTATCAGCAGATTTATTAATCAAATGAATCACTAAAGGAATCCTATTAACTCATCAGAAGGTAGTAGTATTTATGATTTAACCCATTGTAGGCAGAGGTTTATCTACAGAAATATAGTGCCAAAAACAATCACTGAAATTGTGGCATCTGAGACAGTCACGCTGACCTTTGTGATTAAATTTCTCAAAACTCTAGATTACCTCCCTAGAAAAAGCTTTTATTACCAGTTGATATTGAGGAGCGGGTATTGTGACACATGAGATCATGTAGCACCTAATACCTAATTTTTACTTATATACAATTTACATAAATGATTTAACACTCTGGCAATCATAGTAATTCTCTCAAGGGCCGATAGGCATGTATTTAGACCCTAATAATTTATATAAGGGCTTTAATGATTTATCTATCCCTAATAAAAGGTTAAACTTACAAAGAGCTATAAAGGATATGAAGCTGTGGAGAGCCGTGATTGACCACATTTTGAAGGTAGATAGCACAGAGAAGAAGAATGTTACTTAGTTATGATAATCAAAGTTAGATTTCTGTATCTGCCATGTCCCATGCATATGTAGACCTAATAATTTATATAAAGTTTTACAACCTATCCATCCTAATGTTATTAATACATAATAATTTTATAAAATGTGTCATGTCCTGTGTATATTTAGACCTAATAATTTATATAAAGAGTTTAACAATATGTCCTTAGTTTTACTCAACTATTATAACCAAATTTAGATTCCTGAATATGCCGAGACCCATGTATTTAGACTGAATTTATATTTTTTTAATGGTCTATCAATCTTAATGTGACCCTCTTATGATAATCACAGTTAAATTCTAGAATCTTAAGACCTTAATAATATAAGGTGTTTAACAATCTGGCCATCTTAATGATTTCATTCATGATAATCTATACATATATAAATGGCAGTTTTCTGTGTGTCCAGCTAAAACTAAAAAACTTCAGTAATTAATGACAAAGTAAATATATATACAGACTCATTATCACCCAAACCAGCTTTTTGTAAAAAAAAAAATATATGATTTGTATTTATGAAGATATTTTAAAATTAAAATGCATTTGAAATTCTCAATTAAAAAGTAAAAATGAACAGTAATTATTCTTATTCCTGATTAGGATTACTGTTTTTACTTTTTAATTTCAAAATGCTATACATGTATTTATTTAAAAAATTTCTATTCCCTTGAATTTATTTTCACATTTATAGTAAATAAAAGTGTAACTTCAAAAACAGAAAATATTTACTTTTTTTATTAATAATTTGAAAAAAGGTTAATGAACTATTATTGAAGTTTGATTTGTTTGAAAACAATATTAGCAGAGTATTTATATTAGTATTTAAATAAAAAAAATAAAGTGACTTTTTGAATAAAAATATAAAGATGTTCAGACCCCTAACCCACTCCCTCAAGTATGGTATTGATAGTGTAGTATTTTCCTAAATTTAGTTATTTTGTAACAAATACAAAAAAGAAAAATTTATTTTTTTAAAGATTAAATAAACAATTATTTTCCATAAGATGACTGAAAAATATCAACAAATTGTCAATGATAAACTATTATTCAGATATCTTCCGAGCAACACTGGATTTCCCTGCTACTCAAATATAAGTTCTAGAATCAGACCTGACTTATGTATTAACAACTAATTTACATTTATGCAAGTGTTTAACAATCATAGTGTTATTCACCTATGATAAGCAATGTTATATTTCAGAATGTGCCATGACTCATGTATTTAGACCTAATAATTTATATAACAATCTATCTATTCAAGGCAAGAGAACCAAGTTTACCATTTAATTTGTAACTGGACAAAAATTCATATTGAGTATATGTATTAATGTATGGTTGCAGTATGGAAGATCAAACTCACATTAATAAATTGTTCTGTGAGGTGAACTTGCAAACCATTGTGCTATGGTAGTCTATCCCTTTGTAAATTAACTTTTACTCTTGAACTTTAATTACAAAAATGCTTTTAAGTTTAAAAAGGAAATAAAGATACAAAAGCAGTTGCTTATTTTTATGATATCTGATCAAAATGTATCAGGACTGTTGCTATAACAGAACTAAACTATGCAGAGTGAAAGCACTTTGTACAGATTGATTTTGAACTCTGTTGCACATGCACACTAAGTTATAACATTCATTGTTGGCTTCCATTGTTTACACACTTTCCTTTCATGCACTGCTATAAAGTTTATCTCACCATGCCACAAAGGTTCCATCATTGACTATGGCAGAGAATTTTGCCAAAAGCTTGATGATCCATGTGCAGAGACCTAAGCAAAATTGCAGAAAGTATATGGAAAGAAGTGTGCAAGGTAAACATGAATATACAAGTGGTTCAAACATTTCCAAGATTGTTGAAAAAAATTTTGACAGCAATGCACATTCTAGGAGACCTGCAACCAGCAGAACTAATGAAAACATTGCAGATGTTTGGAAAAAGCATCAAATCACCATGAATGAGATGTTGGTGGATGTGAATATTAGTTATGGTTCAATTCAGTCCATTCTCAATGAAGATTTGGGTACAAGACATGTGTCTGTCAAATTTATGCCAAAACTAGTTTTAGTTAATCAAAAAGAAAATCCATTTTCAGTTGTGAAGGATTTCCTTGATTGTGTCAAGGAAGACAAAAACTTTTTGAAAACACTTATAACATCATAAATTATGGCTCTATAGCTGTGATCTTGAAACTAAACTTCAGTCTTTGTAGTGAAAGACCCCAACCCTCTCCAAGACCAAAGAAAGCAGAAATGAGTCCAGGCAATGTAAGACATTGTTAACAGTTTTCTTTGACTACAAGAGCATTGCTCATAATCAGTATGCTCTACCTGGTCAGCCAGTAAACATGTTGCAGTGTTTGAAGCATGTTGTCTGTTGGAAAAAGACAATTGTATATGACCAGTGAGTGGCAACTCTACCATGACAAAGCACCTACCCAGCTTGTGCAGCTGTTTTTCGCCAAGCACAAAATTCCTCAGGTTCAATAACCATTATATTTCCCAGATCTTATCCCTTCTGACTTTTTCCTCTGTCCAAAAATCAAATCTAACTTGAAATGAATAAAATTTCAATATGATGAAGCAGCTGCTGGCTATCCCAAAACAGGAGTTTCAGGAATGCTTCCATCAATGGAAATGATGCTGGATGAAGAAGTGAGCGGCTTCAGAAGAGGACGACTTCAAAAGATATTTAATATCAAATTGACATGTGTTGTTGTTTTCTTTTTATAGCTCTAGTCTCAATACTTTTTGATCAGACCTCATAAGTATTGATTCCCCTTAACCTGTTTTCTGTCATAAACAAGTTAACTTGTCTTAAGTGGCATGATAGTTTTTTTTGTTTTTTCAGGATTTTATTAGTTTATGTATATATTACATTTTTAGGTATTCTGTTGCACATATTAGTTGATTTATTAGAGATTAATATAAACAAAAGTTTATGTATTTTCATCAATTTATACAACAGAAACTTGTTATAAGAGTGACACCATTAAAAATATGCTTGGTAGTGAAAAGATTAAATCACATGCAACAAAATATGATTAATTCTGTGCTACAATAAGTACCCAGAAATTATGTTTGTAGAGAATTTTGAAAATCGTAATAAATTAAAGGAAGGCTAAGTCACATTTTATTTTTAACTTCTCACATTATTACTACTTTTTTATTATTATTATTATTACAGCATTACCATTTTGCAATGAAAAGGAATATTTTAAGTCAAAAGTTCAATACTGTTTTCATAATGTAAGGAATTCTTTCCACATTATGAAACATTTTCTAAATAATATATTCTTCACTGTAATCAACATTGATTTAGTAGTTGTGAAAAGTGCTTTTTTCTCCAATAATAAATCAGTGTACACATATATCTTATAGGATTTATATGCATAAATATATACCTATGTACTACACTTTATACAAGAAAAATGAGTTTTTTTACTTTGTTTCTGATATAAACTTGAATTTTTTATCTTTTTCCATCTCATATGAATTTTTAAAAATGTGCTTCTTATGAAAATATTTAAATATTAAAAAAAAAACATATATAAAACTAGAAATGCATTTTTAAACAGTTGCTACTTTTACAAGTAGTTTTGTTATATTATACTTATTTGGTATTTTATGTTCATTTATTACTTGTCCTGATAGTTCTTTTTTTTACAGATCTTATTTGATTCTTAATAAAAAAAATACCAGTACTAGTTAAATATTTGTATTTAGTAAACAATATTTTGTAATAATTAGTCACCTATTTTTATTAGTAGAACAGGGAAAAATATATTAAACTATTTATATATTCGAGATCACTTTTAATTCCAAAATGTTTTTAAAACTTTTCATGTTGACAACTAAAGCTAGTTTGATATTTTAGCTGAATTTCTGGTAAGTAAAGCTAAGAATCTTCGTCTGTCATCAGAAATTTTTCTTTTGTAAGGTACAGACTTTTGGTCTGTTAAAAATCCTTTGACTGGTTTAGTTTCTTTATTGTTACTTGTAGTTTCTTGAGACATTGAAACTGAACCTTGGTGTCCTGTACCAACACGTAATGGGTTAAGTTTGGGTTGATCAACAGACTTTGCATTTGTAACAAAACTGTCTGACAAAGAAGTTGCTGGAGGATAATTGTTTGTATTGTTGCCCTCTCCTTTAAGTGAAATGCCTGATAATTTATTTCTACTGGACAATGATTGTGGTAATGGTGACTTTGAAACCAGTTTGTTATAACCTCCTGAAAACAAAGAAAAATTGAGAAAAATAATTAATCACTTCTAGGACAATGACTATTTTTTAATTTTTTTTTATTGGGGTCATTAAAATAGAAATTATCTGGAAAGTTAAAATTAGGAATCAGGTATAGTTGTATGTTTAACTTTAGTCAGTTTCCAAATCTTTGCTGTATCTCAGGAGATTAGCATTGCACACTTTCCTAACACTGATCAGTCACATATACATTTGTAAGGTGAATACTGGAAAGAGCTTGGTCTAACTTCTTTCCCAAATTCTGGCCAAATACCCAAAGATAAGATTTTTTTTCTTTTCAAACAGATTCAAACTTTTCACCTTGTATTTATAAGAGGCCATAAATGTATCACTTTTATGCAATTTAATGTTTTTGCTATAAAATCATTATTGAGCAACTGACACATATAGTCATACAAAAAATATACCTTGTGAATTTCAGCTTATGTTTTTTATTTGATATGAAAATTGAGGGTTGCTTATCACACTGGAAAATATATATATATATATATATATATATATATATATATATATATATAAAATAATTATTGATATTTACTATTTGATTTCAAATCTAAATAAAGATTATCATGGGTCATAAGAAATGTATAACCTCAAAAGGCCAACAAAATATGAAGTTATTGAGTGATGGGAAATTTTGGAAAATTGCAAAAATGTTGAAAAGAGATCATAACACCTAAGACAACAAATTTAAAACTGCTAAAAACAAAATACTGGCTTTGAGAACCAGTCCTCCCCAAAACACGTTATTATCAATATTTTTCATTAGGAAAGATATCATAAGCTGAAACTCACTCACTCGCTCATATAAATATACATAATGAAAACTTTTGAAACATCAATTGGTTCACATTAATTTTTTTATGAAAACCTTGACTTACATAATAAGATATAAAATATGTATATGTGTACACACATCTTTCCAGTATTCACCTTACAAATGTATATGTGACTGATCAGTGTCTGGAAAGTGTGCAATGTTTATCTTTTGAGATGCGTGTGTGCGCACACACATATATAACAGAGTATTAAGAAAACAAACACATCATCATACATGTTCTTAATTAAATGTGCTACTTACAACAATTATCATTTTTCACACCTCTAAGGATGTCTCATAAGAGTTGAAAGCTTAGATATAGATTATAAAAGTTTTGAAAATTTAGAGTGAGCTAATTTCAAATCTAGTAAACTTTAACAGCTTCAATACAGACAAAAACACTTTTGGTCATAGAATCTAATAAGGTTATTTATTACCCTTTCCTGAAAAATTTCCTTACAAACAGGTTTGTCTTTATATTTTAACCTGAAGACACCTACCTAACACACAAAGGAAAGAAAAATGTATTATCTGTAAAAAGCTTTTTCACTTTATCTTCTTCTTATATATATGTCAGAGTAAAACAAATAGTAAAATATTTGTTAAAACTGGATGTATTAAAAGTGCTCAATACAAAGTCAGAAGGCCAGACTTGCAGAAGTGTTTAATATTTAGAGAAGATGAAAGCTGACCAGAGCACACTGCCATGGTTTCAACCTCCATGGTCTCCTCAGGTGGTTTGTTCAACAAATCAACTATATAGGGCTCAACAACTTAAGCACTTTCAAAACTGAAAGTAGTGGGGGGAGGGAAAAAAAATTTCTAACTTTAACTGGGTTGAAATAACCCCAAGCTGAACTTGTTAAAATGTCTGCATTTGGTCATCTCTGACCTCATGTTCAGCAATTCATTGCTGTTTTTATATGTTGCTACAGACAGTTTTTCTTCTTAGCATAGCCTACACCTATTCTCAGCTATTATGTTAGTCTTTAAATTTCTTGAAATGCTCCATTTAATGCTTGGGCTTTTGCTATGTCACTCCCTAAACTTCCAATAGTAGCTTGCTAGTTTCATGCTGTACCTATGCTATGGAATTCTAAAAGATGATGTGTGATTGTACCACCACCTCTTGAACTGGCCTCAGTATACCCAATGTATTTTTGTGCTACTATTTTCACCTTCCACTTTGGCACAATATACAACACATTCAGTATGCCATAATCCATTTAAAGGACAGTTATTTTTGTCCTGCAATTGCATATGGTCATATTCTTGCCTTCCATGTCATTTTGTAGCTATAAATTTGTGCTATTCATTCTTTTGATGATGTTGTCCATACTGCTTGTGCAGCTATAACTTAATTTGACTGTAAATTTTGGTGGAATGGGGGTCAGTTCAAGAGGATATGGTACAATCACACCTTCTCATATATATTATAATTTTTTTTTTAAATATATATATAATCCTCGCAACACCAAAATTCCCATGTTTCAAAACTTCAACTTAAGTTCAGTTATACAAATTAAACCTTAAATACAAAGTTCTGTTCATTATCAAGCATTGCTAAGAATAACATTTTAGAAACTGATTTACTTAATTTATAAGTCCAGACAAATTTGATATTTTGAGATGTTGGGGTTAAGGAAAATTCCATCTTTTTTTATTTTAGGAGTGTTAAGATTTAACTTATTTAGAAAACTCATGTATCTAATGTATTGTAGCTATCAAGTCGGTCAAGTCAAGGTGGGGGCTGGTGTATATGTCTATTGATACAAATTTCCTTTTACCAAGTAGAAATTTGTGATAATGTCTATGTTCCAACACATCATCTGAGCTTCAATAGCAATACATTTGGCATTTTTATTATTAATTTTCTTAATTTTGATTTTTATAAATTTCAGTTATAATTTTTTTCAAAAGAGGCATTCAAATATTATTTAGTCACATTTTCAATATTTATATTTTTATTCATACCGACTTATATTACTTATATTACTAATTAAGTACATATATGGTAATGTTAAAATTAATATATTAGAATTTAATTATGTATTCATAAACTATTCTATTTATGATCATAGATAAATATGTTAGTTTCATCTTTAAAAAAATTAGCTATTACTTGAGGAAAAAATTTGGCAATGTTTACAAAAAACTCACTATTTCATTTCTTTGATTTAATAAATTTTTATTTTCCAGAAACTTAATAATATTTAACTTTTCATGTATGCACAAAGGACATGGGTCATTTAAAGATCTACAAGTTCTTTTTTTTTTATTAATTTCCATTTTACTGTTCTATTGGTCTCTTTCAAATGCCAGAAATATTTAGATAAGCATGTCTGGCTGTGGTATTTAGTATTACTGAAGGAACTTTGGTGTTGGTTCCATCTTAATTTAAATTCATTCTCTGTACATCCTACATAGACTCTAACATAATTAGGATTCTCAATAGATGAGATATTGCATTGATAAACCACAGATTTTATACAACATTTATTCTATATATATAATATATATTATATATTACATAAATCTCCAAACAAATTTTGTTAAATTTGATTGACAAGGTGTGTCTGTTTAATCTTGTTATTTTATTTTTTTTATTTTGTTAATCAGGATGAAACTTTTGCATAAACTGTCCAAAATTCATGTTTTGTTCAAGTACTTTTAACCATGTCAAAGTTCTTGATAATGACCAAGACAACTGAAAATACTTGAACAAAAACAAAACAAAATATTAATTTATATATATATATATATAGTTTATGCAAAACTAGGTAGTCCGTATGGGTAGACCCAAGGAGGATGATATCTGGAGAGCTCAATGTAACTTCAGAGCAAATATGTTTGAATAAAAACAGACCACTTTAAGGTTCCATCTAATAAATTATTTCATCATAAAAGGGCTGTGGTGAAATAATTTATTACATGGAACCTTAAAGTGGTCTGTTTTTTTTAAAAATATATATATATATATATATATAATTATCTATATATTATATGCGCGGTACTTATTAGAAAGCACTCAATATCAGAGACAGAGCTAACATATTTGGTTGAATAGATGTGAGTTTGTGACCCTGGGTTTCACGCTTTAGCAATCATCGCTAAAGCGTGAAACCCAGGGTCACAAAACTCACATCTATCCAACCAAATATATAATATATATAATAATAATAAATATACTCTAATAGTATAATAATCATAATAGTCATAATAATCTTTTTTTAAAATATACTTGTAATTTATCAACCTTTGAGCTGTTTGTCTTAGTGTACCTGTTGGTTTCTTTAGTTGTAGCAATTCTGTTCTGGCAGCAGTCAAGGATTCAGTTAGTTCAAGTCTTTCTTCACATTCTTTTTGTACAGTTTCTTGTAAAGATAGAACCTGACCAGAGAAAACAAGAGTGATGGAAATAGTGAACATGAATGTGGCAGAACAACTAAAAACAATACACTTACAAAAAAGGATCTAAAAAAGACACTGAAGAGATTGTGCGTGTTTGGCAACTGAAATAATAATAATAAATCTTCTTTTTATTTGAAGCATTTTTTTAAATATTGATACTAAAAAAAAATGATTTTATCATAAGAATATAAGCGATTTAACATTTGGTGGAAATATATCAAGTTGAATTAGAGAGGAATAATACTTCTGGTAGTGGATTGTATTCTAGGAAATGGCTGTCACTGTTTTTTTGGTTCTTGTTTTTCTATAACAATTTACTTTAGGAAATATTCAAAATTTAGCATTTTCTTTACAATTGGGTAGAAAACTTTAGCGACAATTTTTTCTTGCTTTTGCTCCATGACTAAATGAGTTATAAAACAATCTCTCATCCAATCTCTAAATGCTATCATTGTGGGAACAAACATGAAAAAAGATAAGTTATTTTATATTCTTTTACCTTAGGTTTCCTTGTTAAGAAAGACAAACTAAGTATACTAGTGTCCATAAGTCAACAAGATAAGGAAAAGTCTTTTTGATGTGTAGCAATTTTCAAATGATGCATTTTTGTGAAGGTCTGAGGATATTTTATTTACAAAAATAAAAAAAATAACTGAAATAGAAAATTCTTTGAAATATGACTATTGGAGATAAGTAATAAAAATACTTCTCTATTCCAGATTGAAGACAAAAAACTTGAAGTTGAATTCTATACAGAAAGTTTTATAAATCTGGCAGACAATGGTTTCATTTTTCTGTTAATTCTTACAGCCTTTTTCTTCTATTTACTTGGTCCCCAGTACTTACATTTTCCTTATTGTTTTAACGATGCCTAAAATATATTTAAATATGTGAGTCACTTCTTATTTTATTTTACAATTTAAATTTAATTCCTAATAAAAATCTAAGCATAAATTATTAGGACTTTGTGTCTTGTCAAGTTTAATCCTTAACTGGGAATTTCATGTCACATTTTTTTTTCAGATTCATGGAGACTTAATACACTGATGAATCAAAATATTATAACATGTAACATGACTAACAGTTACTCTTTCATTAACAGTTGTACATATAAGGTAAGAAATAGATAAACAGATAGGAGGCTAGTTTCTCTAATTTTGACAGCATGGGTGCACTAGTATATAATATAATATGATAATAATGATAATAGGGTTGAGTTTAAGTATCCCCGCCAAAGGAAAGAAAAAAGTACAAATAAAATAAAAACGGCAAATAATTAAACCTTAAAATACTTAAAGAAATAGGGTAAGATTTAGGAACATTAAGATTACCTCCTCAGTTATCCATCAAAACTGCAATCCACTGAAATAAGAAAAGAAGCCAGTCCCCACCGCGGGCCATTTAAAAGATAGTTCGTGCAGCAGATTGGTTGTTATAAACATCCAATCGGATGCACGGAATATGTGGTCTTTCTTCCTCTTATTCTTTAAAAAGGCCAGAGTAGCTGTTAGCGTTTAGTTGGAAGGGGGAATCAGGGGTTGATCTCCCCTGATTGGGTCGATTTGGTGATGGGGAGTATGATGTTGAAAGACCCGAAACTCCCTGATGAACCAAATCAAAACATCACTGACGACCCCCTTGCGCGCCTACTCAAAAGCGTATTTGCGAATTATTCCAGTAATTTTTGCCCAATTGAAATAATGTTTATAGTCACATAAGATATTCTTTAAGTCATTCCCATAACTAACCTGTGACTTCGTTTCTTCCAACTGTTGATGAATTGATTGCACCTGTTCTTTTAAGTTGGTCACTTCTTGTTGAGCACTTCTAAGTTGTGTCTTTAGTTGAGTTACTTCATCCTGTCCAGCATTGCCCATTTGGACTGAAGAAAAAATTATCAATTTTAACAAACAAAAAATGTGGAAATTCTAAAATCTATTTTGCAGTTTAGAAACTGAATACAAGTTAATTAAAAAAATATGCATACTCCTTGAATTTTTTAATCATTTTACCTAAACAAGGTAATAAAGCCACTAAGATGCAAGGGATTATGGAGTGTGAGAGAATATAAGAAAAAAAAACACTATAATACATAAAGTCTAGGTACCATAGAGGAAAGTTCATCAGAACAATTGCCATTAAAATATTTATAGATAAGACACAGGGAAGCTACATTATGGTGGTGGGAAAGTGGGTGAAGCCGAGATGCCAGGACAGGACCAGTAATATTGCAGATTCTCTTATCAAGAATTCTCTAAATACATAGAAGCACCAGATTAGAGGTAGCAGCAATATTCAAAGCAAGGACTGACTTATAAATATGTAAATATGTAAGATAGATTTTGATAAGAGTAAATATAAATATTTCAGTATTAAAAAAATAAAAATAAAAGAGTACCCATTTACAAATTTGCTGGAAGTTAATATTCCTTATAAAAAACTTTCCTCATTTTTTATGCCTTGTTATTTTTAATTGTTTGACTATTATTTTTTTCTCATATAAAACAATATAGAATTATTTATGTAGCAATTATATTAATTCTGGTTAGAATATTGGCTGTCAATTTTACATATTTTCAGTGAATAGGATGAAATTTTTTCACTATTATAATCTTTAAAGGATCTTGTAACAGTGGCATCAATTTAATTATGAGAAGCATTATATATACTATAGATAAAGAAATTATGAGAAGCATTATATATACTATAGATAAAGAAATTATGAGAAGCATTATATATACTATAGATAAAGAAATTATGAGAAGCATTATATATACTATAGATACATTATAAGATTCATGAATAGTAAAGAAATTTGTGACGATACAGTCATTATTTTAGGGGACATTGAAAATGATACACTAATGTGTATGTGAGATAAAGTTTCCAGTGGGATACAAGTGCATTGAATTTATTGTTAAATTTTAAGTCACCTTTATATTCATATATACTTTTCTTTAAATTTTGGAATGAACTAGCAATAACAGTAAAATTAGGTCCATTATATTGTTTACAAACTCCAAAACTAATGAACTTGAGAAAAATACATTGGCAAAACAATTTAAATAAAAAAATTCATGGCCATAAAAAGGAATTAACAATTAAAAGCACACTGAACTGAAACTTTCATGACCTTGAAAATACCTTCTTATATATATATATATATATATATATATTGAAATAAAATGAAGAAAACTCCTATGTTATGTTTTGTCCTTGTTCAAATTAAAAATAGTTACATCAATAGGAAATTATATGCAAAAATTAATTCATCAGTACATGTATAAAATAGTACAACAATGGTATGATGCCAATGTTTATATAAGCAAGACATTCTGATAATTGAAATAGGAAAATAAAAGACTTGTTGACAATTGTTGTAAATAACCATAAAATCTGATTAGCATGTGTTGTAATTTGACTGAACAAAAAGAACACATACATAGAATCAGAAAGAGGCAAAATTGAAATTTCTATGTTACATAATGAGGAAAGTGGGTTTGAAGAATCTGACACTCACAGAACATATTGAAGGAAATTAAGGCAAAAGATATTGCAAGTAGTGAATAACCTACCTAACAAACTTGTGTAATTGATTTGCAAAAAAAGGATTAAGAAAGATAACAAAACAAAAAAAAAAACCTTATTAAGACTTACAGAGGACAGAAAGTTATGAAAAGCTATAATTGTTCATGTGTTGAGGGAATATATTTTATATAGAAGATTATTTAATACAGGATAGGAATTATGGTTCTTTCTTTAAAAATGTTTTTAAAAAGATAATGTTAAGCAATGGTATATGAATATGTACAGCAAGAATGTCTATATAATACTGAAAAGAAATACACTTTATACATTGGCATGCCAAACATTTGGGTCACCTTGGTAAATTAATTAGTTTTGTTAATTTTACCTCCAAAATCTAGAGAGATTAACAATCTGTTTTGCTCAGTACATTTTATGATTTTGAGAGGCAGAAAACAAGTTATTGAATTTTCAATAATGCTGTATAGTGGATGATAGAACTCCTTAATCATGGTGATGTTGGACAAAAAACACCATGCAAAAATACTGGGCCACCATTGAATATTTAACCTTTCAGTTCTTTTCTTCAGTTAAAAAGGAATTTCATTTTTTTGCTAAAGATGATCTTTATTATTACAGTACAAAATGTCAAAGTATGAAGTTAGTAATTAGTATTGCTGCCTTTGGCTTGATTAATTGCTTCAATTTGATGTGGTATTCAATGGAACGTTCCAGATTTTCTCATTGGGAATTTTTTCCCATTCTTCTTGACTGTAATCTCAAAACTCTTGGAGATTTCATGGTTTTCATTGGAATACTTGTTTCTTCAGCTCCCACCACAATGCTTCAGTTCTATTGAGATGAGACTTTTGTGCTGGACACTCTTCCAGAATTTGAATATCTAAAAGAAACTATTTTGTTGCACCTAATTCATGGTAAGGAGCACCATCATGCTGAAAAATTTCTCCATCTTTGTAGTTTGGCAGAGGATTAGACTGTAGTAAATTAATGTAGTTTCCACTGTTAAAGTTTCCATCAACTTTTACCAATTTTCTTCTGCCATTGCTTTTGAAGCAACCATATACGATTATATATCTACAACCACTCTATTTTGCATTCATCATTAAAAATTACTGTCTAATGTTAACTGTTCCTTTAACCACTTCAATCTTCTATTCTGATGTTTTTTGCTTAATTATATTATTTTTGGTGCTATAAACCCATTCAGAATTTTTTTTTTCCATAATATTCTGCATACTGTATCAACTGAAACTTCTTCACTGTTAAGACTACATTCACTCCTTACTAGTCTGGCTTTTATTTTTTATTGCTTCTGAGACTCTCATAATATTTCTTTCATCTCCTTTGTAACTTCTGTTACATAGTACCTACAAAAACACAACAACTTGGGTTTTCATCAATAAAACCACCACCTGCCAGGTACTGTATTTACAAATTCTTGGCATTCTTTCCAACAGTTTTTGGTGTTAAGAAAATGATTATAAAAAAAAGTAGATGGCAGACCTTCCCAAGCATTCTTCAAGCACTGATAAAAAGCTCACAATTTCTCTCACTCTTTGGGTATTCTCTAAAAAACTCTCCTATCCAATTCATCCAATACTAATTCAATGGGAGAGAGGTAAAAGATAAAATTGAGGCATTTGCCAAAAAGTCATAATTTCAAAATTTTTTGTTTTTTTTGTTTTAATTTTTTTTACTTGAGGTAATTTTGACATAATTTAAAAGAGTGTTTTGGATCTTTGTCTTGTTGAAAGGTGATTTTTTTTTTCCAATTATCCAATAAACCAGATGATATAGCATGTCTTTGCAAAAATTGAATGATATTGTTCTTTTTTCATGATTATCTTGACCTGAATCAAAATCTAAACCAGCCCCTCTCATGTCTTTGCAAAAAAACACTTTGACCCACACCATAACAGACCCACCCCCAAAATGCTTAACTGTTGGAACCACCACACATTCATCATTCAGTCTTTCTCTTGGCTTTCTTCTCACATACACTCTCCTCTTACTACCAAAAAGTTCAAATTTGAACTCATCTGTCCACAGTACATTTTACTACTCTTTGAATGTCCAGTTCTTATTCTTTTTCTGCCCATAACAGCCTTTTCTGCTTATTCACCTACCATAACAGGGGTTTCTTGATGGCTAAGCACCCCTCCTGATTGCTGAAACATTCAATTTTTTCACAGTTGAGAATGACACTGGTTGCTGTCAAGAGAAATTAAGTTCAGCTGTCAACTCTGGAGCAGTTTTCCTTCTATTTCTTTTGCTCTCAATAATCAAGTGTTTATCTTCAGCAGCAGTTGTCACTTTTGGTGCTCCAGCTCTTTTTCTGTCAACATTTGTGCCAGTTTCTAACTGCCTTTGTAATGAATATTGCACCCCATGTCTAGAAATCTTCAACTTCTTGGCAATTTGTCTTTGAGAGTAGCCTTCTTTGAATAAAATTTCAATTTGTGCCCTCACCTCAATGCTTAGCTGCTTTGATTTTGCCATTTTGTGCAAATTACTTCAAAATTAGAAAATAAAAAAAATGAAAATACTGTTGTAATGGCACAATTTTTTTTTTCTTCAAACAGACAGCTATATATTTTTTTTTACAATATTAGTCAGTGATGAGTTAGTCTTGATTTAGAACCTGTATTAACATTTAACTTTTTGAAAATTTTGGTAATCTCAAAAAAGTCTATTGAGGGGTTAAAGTGAAAAAAAATATAATGTTTCTCATACAAAATATTCATAATTTAGCAAAATTTATTGTGGACAGATGAATCCAAATTTGAATTTTTTGGTGAAAAGTAAAAAGCAAGGAGCCTGGAGAAAAACTAAAAAAATACAAAAAGCAAATGCACTGTAGTTACTGAAATGTTTAGTGTTATTTAAGCATGGAAAATTGAAAATATGATAATATTAATTAATATGCTATATATTTGATATATATATAGTATGTTAAAGACAATCCAATAGGAATTAAATTTTGAATTTGATAATAGCCATTTCATATATTAAATGAAAAATAATTAATGCTAATCTTTAATTCTTTTTTTGGGGTTTACTTTGATGTATGCTATTGTTTCAATAAAATATGGAGCTCTTTAAAAATCAATTTTGTTATTTTTTTAATTTAATTCACTTTAAATTAGTTCTCAACAGATTATATATGTTAATATACAATTATATACTATGCCTGAATGTGTGTGTATATTATTTATATATATATATATATCAAAAAATTTTTCAATGTCTATATGTATTAGAAGAATTTAGGATATTGAAAAAGTTACCTACTTTGTCTTCAGTATTCTGGCTATCTTCATGATATTTATCAACCAATTTCTGGTATTTCTGTTTCTCTATCTCAAGATCCTGGTGCCAATAAAAAATTATCAAGAAAATTCATAAGTTTGAATAAGACAAAAGTTCTAAAACAATGTTGGAGTTTGCTGGAATGATTACATAGAAATCATATTTAAGGAATCTATGCTTAATTATGACTAAACAATTATGATTATTGCATTACACAAGTTTTTTATTTATATTATTGTTTTTTTTATGTTATTGTTCACCCAAAGCCCAAGAGTCCCTCAATATAGACGGTTACTGAATGAGATTGTTTTATGGATGTAAGCAGGTGTAGTAAAAAGTACAGATTATGAGGATATATAGAATAGATGACTCTGGACTTGAAGTAATTAAGATTTGTAGTGATTGGAGTTCCATCATTTTCAAGCTATTTTTTGTCTTCTTCAGTGGCAATCTTGGGAAGAATATATATATAAATATATACTTCTTTATCAATGGGAAACAAAAGGAATGAGGATGAGAAAACTTTTTTGTGTAAATAAACTTGAAAATTTAACTTTTGTTTTTTGAACTATGGAAATAATGAATGTAGTTCATCAGCACATTTGCCATTTTTATATGTATATAATCTTATATAATATAGACAATGGTATAATGTGAGATTCAGATACAGAGAGAGATGGTATAAGACAGAGACAATTTTATCAACATCTTTTGTGATGGATTGTATATTTTCTTTTATATTAAAGTCTGGAGAGAACTTTCCCCAAAAGATACTCAAAGCAAGTAAGAGTCCAACAATTCATCATGGCTGGTGAGAATTCAGAGTCAACTCAGTGATAATGAAAAGATACTAACTTGATTTTTAAGGTACTGAAAGTTACGAGCCACTTTTTCTCCCATGGACTGTTAGGGCTGGATCAGTTTGGGTCATCTAGATTCCAAAGTTAAAACCTATAAATTTTAGAAACTATTCAGAATAGAATATTTACATCTGGATAGCAATCTGAAAATGTTCTTAGCTAGATTGTTAATATAAATAAATAGGGTAGGATCTTTTTATAATAAGCCTTGTGATTAGATACCTACATTGATCTCTTTTCAAAATGGACATTTGTTTCATCTTGTGCTATAGTTCTGACCATTGACAACAAACTTCATTGACCTACCTGATAGGAAGAACTTGATAAATGTGAAGATTCTTCCATAAATTTCAAGATTTTCTGTAGCTATAAAAAAGAACTTTTGAGATAGAAAGGTATTTCTCTCTTAATTTATTATTGTGCCTCACTGATTATGTGTATAATGACAGTAAGGATATCAGCAGTAGACCTAGAAGAGTAAAATCCATACTATTTGTCAGACATAAGGTTGTTTCTATTAACAACCTTCTAGTTGATGATAAACTTAAAAAGGAGGATGATTGGTTGATATTGATATAGGGATGAGCCCTCTGCCTTTTTGAAGACAGCTGACACCTTTCATAGACTTGGGAGACATTTTCCTTCAGACAATAGCTTAACAACTTTGCCAACAATGGTTGGCTAAGGTTTCTTTAAACATTTTAACATTTTTATAGTCATATATATTGGCTTTGGATAGGAATAAATCTTTTAGGAATGCAGATATTGGAAAAAATCCATTTGATTTGATGGTGGCACTATTGAGAATTTTCGTTCAGGATGTTATATTCCCCCTAAAACCAGATCTTCTTCTGAATTTTATAAATGCATAATTATAAGGATTCAGCCAGATTTCTGTCAGAGGCAAAACACATAGCTTCTGAATCAAATTTTCAAAGAAAGGCAAAGAAAAAAAAACCAATATAATGTAGATTATTCCAAGGCAATATTACCTACTCCCACCTATAGAAACAAAATAAAAACTGGAGCTGATTTAATGTTAAGCCCCACCCATATTCTCCCATGTTTGGGACATTTTGCAGTTGGATGGCATTTTAGCCCCAGGTTTACAGACTGTCAGAAAGCAACCTTCCATCTCAAAAGACAGCTCACCAAAGGCTAACATCACCCCATTTAATCAAAATCACCTGAATTGTCTTTAGGATTTCTAATGCAGATGCCTTTTTTACAACTTCTGTTACCTCCTTCATTGTTTTCAAGAGACATTTACACCAATTAATTATTTGTTGTATTTTATATAATAAACATTTAAATATAAACCATAAATTTCTTCTTTGTTCAAAAATGATACACTTAATATAACCCTAAGTAAATTACTTATTTTCTCTTTTAATAAGTTTAGATTGCAGTTGTGATTGAATTTATTTCTATGTATGTATAACTCGTACATTTGATAAATTGTTGTAAGATCCCTTTTGTATTCATAGATATGTTTGTTTTTTTTTTTAAATTTCTGCAAGTTTCCCCAATGTAATGTGAGGAACAGTTCTGGCAATTTATTTTATATGTACCTGCTTGAGAATTATTTTTGATTCTGATCATATCCGTAATTGTTTTGATGTAATTGGGGATTGGATAAATTGCAGGCCTGAGCATGGATGCTATGTGATTGCTTTTATCTAATTTATTGTTATGTCAATAATGTTGTGAGATTTAAAATCACAAAAGATCAGAGGATAAAAGAGAGAGAATGAAATTTAAAATCCTGAAAGATCAGAATCCCTGAAAAATAATTTTGGAGAAATAGCAAAAGTGTATATGTTTTTATTTCGTGGTAAACATTTACAAAATATCAATTTAAATCCTTTTTTCATAGAATCATTTACCAATTCCTTCATGTGAGAGGACAGGCAAATTAAGTTTTTACTGATGAAGTTACTGAAAGAGTTTTTCAAAGCATTTGGACAATATTAATTAACAATATTTCAGATAAAGATGGTTTCCTGGAATATTTTAATGTGTGCATCAATATTTTTCTTAATCATTTCTAGCACTCTAACTACTAATGCAATAATGCTTGTGTTTATATACCATTATTCTTATAATTCATATTATCAGGTCATTATCATCATTATGATTATTATTATTATTTATCTGAAACTTCTTTAATTTTCTTTTATCAAATAGAAGATAGTACAAACCATTAAAAAGTTTTCTGTGAGTTTTCCTTTAAGTTCTTGCATTTCTTTGTTATGTTTATTTCTTTCCTGCTGCTGTACAGTTTCAAACTGAAATGCATAAAAATGATTTTATAAAAATTTAATTTTATTGGAATGATTTTCATAATGTTCTTGAAATTTATAACTTAAGGAACATAACCAAATAACCTTATTGAATATATATTGTAAATGCTTAGGTGTATTAAAAATTTTGGAAATTGAAAGTATATTTTTCAATTTTTATATCCATTTAAGAGGATTATCATCTAATTTCAAAAAATTGAACTTTTTTGTTCTATACATGCTTAAAAATATTTTTACCTAGAGCTGAAAAAAGTTACATAATGTTTGAACTAAACAATGTAAAGTCACAAATGAAATTGAGGAATTTGAGGATATAAACATTTACTATTAACTGTATATCCCCTAACACTTTTTTTCTTAATTCTTGAAGTGTCTACTTTAAGATACCTTTGGATAAATGATATCTGATTAGATTTATCACATGTTGCAAATACAAAGCTTAACTTAAACACTGAAAAGATAAACAAACTCTAACTCTAAAATCAGCATATATAATAATATTAACCCATTAATCCTAAGAATTTACTGAAATATTTGTTATTATGCAACTTTAATATTTCAGAACAAAAAGAGTCCAAAGAAAGTATGTATATTTTATAAATACACTTGTAGTGAGTGCAAAATAATAATAACTCCCTTTACCCACACCCTTCAAATTTGAGGACTGAAGAAAATTGTTTTGGGGCCAATGAAAACATTGCCTTCACAGAAATTAGCCAAGAAGAAGAAGAAAGAAAGAAAAGAAAGGAGGAAGCCTATGCAAAATTCTTTTTAATATAAAATGAGGAGAAAAATTAAATTAAGAAGAGTAGTGTATGAAGTCATGTGAAAGGTTTCATTTCAATTCCTTGTAACCAGCGTTGAAGTTCTAACCTGTGTAAAATTATTTGCCACTTATCGGCTTTTAACCAACCATGCAGCACTTCAAAGAATTTTTTCTCAACAATCAAAGAAAGCTAAGTATTTCAATTTCTTTTTTCATCTACTTTTGAACATATGCAAATGAAACCATATATCCCTTTCGGCAACAAACTCTTTTACCTTTGTCTTAAACATTTTTGAATATTATTGTATCAGATCATAATCTAATATTTGAACGTTTCCTCTTCATGATAATACGTTAAACTATAGATTTTAAGAACTTCGATTTATTTCCCTGAAATGAGCTACTGACACTACACATCAAGTGTGCAAATTCATAAATAAATTCCTTATCTTGTTTTGTTTAAAATTACTCATGTTTTTTTGTCGTTACCATCCTCCATTAATCTTCTTGGCATGGTTAAATCAACTGTTTATTTTAACTCCTAAGCCCCATGCCACTAAGTATCAACTATTTGTTTTGTAATGTACTTTGTTAATAACTAAATAATCCCAGTGCCTTATTTTAACAAAAATAGTTTTTTGGTTTGAAATTACTTGTCATCAGCTTTTTTACCACATTTGTATCAACTAAAAAGAAAACTTTTTATAATTTGCAGTTTCCTTTGGAACATGTAATTCACTTAGCATTTGAAACAAATAAATAAAAATTATCTCAGAAAACTATTACAATCAGCAAACTTTAAACAATATGCTCATACAAAGAAAAAATTAATTTTTCAAAAACACTTTTGCCTTTGATGTCACTTGAAGTCAATTTGAGTGATTTTATGCTGGTTATAAAAGAAAGCATGATACAATTGTCATTAGTCAACCACTAATCTGGACATATTGAAGGTCATCTCCTCTATATATTACCTCCATCACTTATGCTCTTTGAGATGTTGACTATATAAATTCATCCTATTTGTCAACTAAGAAAACTATTTAAAAAAAGAATGGCAGTGTTGTAGTCACTACTGGCCACTCCTAAGCAAAACAAATGGGACAACCTTGACCATAACAACCCTTCTACTCCCAGAATTGAATTAGCAGTTAATTAGCAATTAAACAATTATCCTGATACATTTTGAGTTAGAAGCATATCATTAAGTATATTGGATATGGGAGTGTTAAGCCACATACGAACAGCATTTGGAGTATTTTTATATTTAGCATTTTCTACTTCCTGTAGCCAGGGAGTAAATGAACAAATGTCATGGACATAAATTCAGCCCCTTTTTTCAACAACAAAAAAACAGCCCGGGGGTTAGGATCAGTGTGTAGTATCTGTACGCTGTCTTTTGATCTCCCTGGTGTACTGCTGAGGGATACTCTTCAGTGTGATCCCATCTTCCGCCATTGATCTGCATTGGAGGTTGTATCATCTCCATGACTTGGCCCTGTTTAGGGAGGATATTTCCATCTGTGGGCTGGAAAATCTCTGATGATTCATCTGAATTGTTGAAGTAGATGGCTAGGAGGCAACCATTTCAGCTCCCATTTCACCATTTAAGTTACTGAACCAGCTTCTCATCACTAACACATTCCTGCTTGGACTATTGACCAATTTCCTGTCATCGACATGGCCAGTATGACCGCACACTAACTTCCCATTGTCAACACAACCAGTCCAACTGCACACCAACTTCCCATCATCGGTTTGGTGATTTGTAAATGGTCTTTCTTATGCTTCTACTTATGTTTTGGGATCTGAGAGATGCAAGACTTTTATTTTTGCTCATTGTCATGGTTGAAAATGTGTATAAAAACTTGAAAAGGAACCAGATTTGAAAGGGATGACATGAATTCAATTTTAAGTTAAAAAATTTTTACATCATTTTTTTTTGTGCATATGTATTGCTAATCTTATTTCAAAATTGTCACTTCTTTTTCACTTTTATAGCAGAACTTTTGGGGATTAAATCCCACTTAGTCTGCTAAGACACTGTCAGGTTGCACTGTTTAAATATTATAAAAGGATGAACATATCTTTCTCTTTCTTTTTTTCAACCTAGCCGATAGTAGCTAGCAAAAACCATTCATTCCATTTCCTTTTATCTCTGCAAATAATGAAAATTCATCATTTACATGTGAAAATTTTGTTGCTGCTTTTAGTTAAGCTAGAAGCAGTATCTGCAATAACTCTTATTCTCTTTTGTGTTACACACAATTAAATTTATTATTAACCATTATAAATAAATTTTATATGTAAATAAATTCAATTTGATTTTTGGATGAAATAAATTGTTCACTTACATTTCATTTTTTTCCATATTCCATATGGTTACATCAAATTAGTTTACAAATGTAGTTGAAATAAATCAAATGAGACATTATTTCATCAAGTTATATGTCAGAATCTTCAGAAATGACACTTGGTAGATTTTGTGATGTCAATGAACACTTGTTGCCACCTTCGTAATGCTCATTGTAGTAGAGACTTTGAAATCGCAGATTACAACTAGAGCAATGCTGTTGAATAATACTGGTGTCACATGCCTTCGAATAGCATTCACACTAATAGTACTTGCTTGATAATACTCGCTTGAAAAGTAACCACTGTATAGTGATCAGTATAGAGAAATAGTATAATGAACAGAGTACAGAATAGCGGTTTGTATAGTATAGAGGATAGACTAGAAATACAGATCTGAATAGTAATAGAGGATAGACTAGAAATGCAGATCCGAATAGTAATAGAGGATAGACTAGAAATGCAGATCCAAATAGTAATAGAGGATAGACTAGAAATGCAGATCCAAATAGTAATAGAGGATAGACTAGAAATGCAGATCCGAATAGTAATAGAGGATAGACTAGAAATGCAGATCCATATAGCAATAGAGGATAGAATAGCAATCAATTAGATGTCACACGACTTCCTACTTATACGTTTACTGTATGGTCATGTGGTCCACTTAATTCAAGAATGGGATTGCCTGTGTTTGCTCACTGGTGATCTATGTTCAAATTCAAGTGTCGGCAGCGACACTATTTCTATATAACAGTAAATTATCAAAATTTTATTCTTTTTTTTCTTTTGAAACAGAATCAAAATATTCTTTAATCTTTAAAATAATCTTTGTTTTATATTTCTTTATTTATAATTGTATAGAAAAATGTGTTGTTTAGTTCAAAAATCTTTTTTAGGTTTGGGTGGAAGTTTTAGCATGTGAAAAACAAAAGTGCAATTTTTGCCAAATAAGACAATGACCACAAAGATTTTAAGTTTACAAAATAAATGTGATAGGATAATGAAACTGGTATCTCTTTAAAATGATGAAGGTTAATTCATAAGTAGGGTCACCAATCCAATAAAACAAGTTTTAGACTAGATAGAATAATTAAAATGACATCAAACAAAGTGAATTTATTCCTCTTGAAATTTACAAGCTTATTTTTAATATAGTCACCATATAAAATATAACCATATTGTCACCATATATAATATAGTCACCATATATTCTTACATATTTTTCCAAATTTTGTATCCACTTTTTAATTCTTCCCATTTCATCCATTTTGTCTTTAGCAACTTCATCTTTGCTATCAGAAGAAAATTATTGACTTTTCAACATTTATCTAATCTAAAACTTGTTTTATAGGATTGGAGACATTATTAGTAGTGGAGAAACTTATATACCTGAAAAATTATTAAGTGCAAGAATTATGCATTCTTTAAATTTCTGCTAATGTTATAAAATCTGAGAATTCATTTTGTGAAAATAAAAATGTTTTTCTGACTGTAAAATATTTTCATTTTCTTCACTTATCAATCTCACATATACCTTGTTTTTATGATATTTTTTGTTTATTTTCTTCAACTTAGTCCCTTAAAATACTCCTCATTTGTCAAAAGTATTTGTAATGTAGTTGTTTATAGCTTATTTGCTTTTAACTTACTTTAAGTGGCCATTGATCATAGTCTGTAGATTTTTGTCTATAACTTTCTTTCAGGTCTTCAATCTGTTGGTGATGGGAAATTGTTGCTTGCTCTCTAATAAAGTAAAAAAATGAAAAAGGAATTGCTGATATATTTAAAGAGTTAAGCTGGAAGAGAGATAAGCATTGGAATATTCAAAATGTTTATTTTATTCTAGCTGATAGATGGCATTAAAAGTATATGTTTTTTTACTAACATCATCCAAAAAGGCAACTTTTGGTCGTATTTTGATTGCTGTCATATCAGTTGGCATTAAAAAGAATTGGGACATTTTTGCTTATTGATTATAACATTGATGATGGAAAAAAAGCTACATTTTCAGCATGTGCTTTTTATATTCAGAAATAAAAAGATTTGTGCAGTTAATGGAGAAGATATTTTGAATTGTTTGCTAAGTTTCATGTTAGAAATTTCTCCATAGTTCAGTTGTAAACCAGTTGAAATAATTAACAAAATGAAAATCACTTTTAAATAATTAATGTTATGTGGCAATGTAGACAATATTCAACATTTATACTGTAGTAGGTGATGGAAAGTGAATAGTTTACAATAATATGGAATGCAAGAAATCATTTGTAATCCTATCACCCTTACTACTGTTAGACTATAATTACAATGGTGTACAAAAGTTTTGGGCCAATGACATAAAATGATTACACATCTTTATTTTATTAAGAAGATAAGATTGTTTGGTGGTATGCTTTTATCAGTGGTGTTTGTGGACCTTGAAAATTGTAAAATAAATTAGTGTTTTTGTAAATGTTGTGTAACAGAAGATACACTACTTTAAGCAGCTTGTAGCTGAGAAAAGGTCATGCAAAACTATTGGGCCAATGAAAGATCTGAGATGATAGTCATGATAATATGCAAATTTTCTCAGTAGGAATTGTTCCATTATATTGATATGAGTGTAAGGTACTCTGGCATGTCATTATAGTTGAAGGTTAGGTTGTATTTTTACATTTAAATCATGGCTAAAATTTCGGATCAAACAAAGATGAAGACTGGAAATTTGAAGAGAAAGGTGATAAAATGAGAGATAGGCAGGCAATTGGAAATTTCAAGAAAGTGTGTTCAAATGATCCAAAAGATGTTTGCTACTACTGGAAGTGTTTTAAGTGCCAAGAGAACTAGAAAACCACAAAAGTTAGACAAGAGAAATGAAAAAAAAAAGATTGTGAGATCTTGGTAAGCAATCTAGAATTAACAACCAGACAAGTGAGGAGTAAATACAGTCTTAAGAATGACATTTCAGTTGATACAGTATACACAGTATTGCAAAATAACAATTTGAATAACAATTAACAGTTTGAATAGGTGTGTATAGCAGTCAAAAAAACATCATTGGAATAGATGAAAAAAAAATCAAAATAGAAGATTATCTAACATAGAACACTGGAAAGTGGTAAAAAGTAATTTTTAGTGTAATGCAGGGATTCCCAACCGTTTCTATGCCTCGTACCACTAGAAAACTTATATGATCTAACACTCCACTATATATATATATATATATATATATACACACTAAAGTAATATCACATATGAAGATGATGAAGGCGATTTATACTTAATTTAAGTAACAAATTTATTTAAGCAAATTTTTGAATGACATGAAAAAAAAGAAAATTGTTATAACAAACTTAAATACAAACAAATAGTACAAAAAATTAAGCATTTATTTAATGTAAGTGTAAATTAAGCAATTTCAAAATACTAACATTAAGAAGTTCACATAAAAAAATGTAAAATTTAAATCTAATGACATTTTTGTTCCTGGTTTTGTCAAAATGTTGTACTTTGTTGATGATAGTGATCCACATGTTTGCCTGTGCATTCATTTCATTTCTAGATTTTGTCTTGATTGATGAACGAGAACTAAATTCAGACTTACATAAGTATGATCCATTCTCCTAAAATCCACAGTTCTCTAGTTGCAAAATATCCATTAAATGATTTTGACAGCATTTCCAAATGAACCACAATATCTTCACACACAGTAGGGATTAGAGATCCATTATCATCAACAATTTCTTCAAGTGATGGAAAATTTGAAAGATTACCTCCATCAACCTGTCGATGTCAAAGAGGTAACTTTTCTTTTAAAGCTTTTAACTTTTCACACCATTTCAATATGTTTATATCTTTTCCATGAGAGACACTCAGTTCATTCATATGAGTGAAAATGTCAGCCAAATATTTTGTGATTCGAATTTACCAACCAGATCATAGTCATGTTCCTCCAGAAAAACTTTGATTTCTTTCCACAGTTTGAAGAAGCGGTGAGTTAAAGCTCACCCTTGTGAGAGCTAGCAGACTTCTGTATGGATAAGCAAAACTGTATTGTCATTTCCCAAATCTTCACTAAACAACTTAAAGATGCAGTGATTCAGAGTGTGACCCCTTAATCTAGTTGATGATCTTTACACAAATGTTGAGTACTTTTTTCAACCTTGGAGGGAATGTTTTCATTACCAAAGCATGACTATGAAGGAAACAGTGGGTGACTTGCAAGTGTAGAATTTCCCTCTTCATCAGTGCAGAAAATCCAGATTTATTCCCTAGCATTGCAGGAGAACCATCAGTGTACACAGAACCAATAGTTTGGATATCTAAATCATGTTTGGCAAAGAAGTCTTTCACAAACTGATGCACATCTTTTCCTTGTTTGGTTGTTTTCAGCTTTTCACAAAACAGGAAATCTTCTTTCACAATACTACCACTGACATACTTAACCAATGCAATGAGTTGACTGCACTTTGATACATCAGTTGATTCATCCAACTGGAGAGATATTTTCAAAGAACTAGACCTGACATCTAAGATAACTTGATTCAAAATATCATCACTCAAATCATCAATTTGATTGTAAATGACATTATTTGATAGCGGCATTAATTCAAGTTTTTTTCTTGCTTCTTGGCCCAGAACAGTTATTGCCATTTCTAATGCACGTGGTTTGATCAGCTCTTGGACTTGGCTAATTTATATGCCACTTGGTACGAAGTCAGAAGCAGTGGTTTGTCAACAGAAACAAAACCTAATCTTGGGAGGGTTCCCTGAGATTGAAAATGGGCTCTTTTAGTTTTCAGTGATTCAAAATCATGGTTTTCAACACCACCTCCATCTTGCTTGTTGTTGAAGAGCTCTTGCAGCATTGATGGCTTCATATTTGCATTGAAAAAAACACAGCATTACAAAGTATGTACTGGGGTTTTTGCAATTCATCATTTCCCATGTAAGTGAAACTAAAGTCATCATTCCATTTCCTTTTTTTTGATGTGATGAAGGGTTAAAAGAGATAGAAAAAATGAATAACTCACCAATGTAATAACCAACATCAATATAATCACCAATGTAATAACTAATATAATAGACACCCATCAAATTTGCATTCTAGAGAGAATTCTGAACTCAATGAAGTAAAAAAAAAAAAGAGGCTTCACCCCCTTGGCAACCTGACTATAAACAGTAGCTGGAAGCAGTGCTGTCTATTTTTGGTTGTTAATTTGAATGCTATCCATATTATCTTATTACTGTTACACTGGCTAATTTTACAAAAGAATCATTTTCTCTTCTGCTACTGTTAAAATTGTTAAAAGTATCTGCAAAAATAATAAACAAATAAATTTGAATGCTTAACCATTAAAGTTTAAACATTTAAATTTATTTATTATTTTTGCTAAATTGCCAAATCCAAGGTTTTGCACCCACTAAAAGGTGATCCAGCCTCCCCAGTTAGGAATCACTGGTGTAATGCAAAATAATTACATTTTAATGCAAGAAAATATGTAAGAAGTCCAGTGGTAGGAAGAAACGATGCAAGTTACACCACAAAGATGGTAAAATTTGGGTTGTGGACACATAATGGTGTGGGGGTGCAACAAGAGTAATGGTAGAAGAAAATTGGTAAAAGTTAATAGAAACCTAAACAGTGAAAACTATATTAGTTTATCATAATCTAATCCTCTGTCAGATTACAAAGATGGAAAAGTGTTTCAGTATGATAGTGCTCCTCCTTATAACACATCATATCCAACAAATGGTTTCTTGTAGATGAAGATGATGTTCAACTTTTTGGAAGAATGACCAGCACAAAGTCCTGATCTCAATATAATTGAAACATTTTGGTTGAAACTGAAGAACCAAATGCTCCAATGAAAAATATGCAATTTCCAAGAGTCAGGAAGAATGGCAAAAATTCTCAACAATAAATTCTGGACCTTGTTCCATTGAATGCCACATCAAATTGAGGCAATTATTTGAGCTGAAGGTAACAACAATAATTACTAACTATATACATTGATGTTTTGTATATTCTGTAATAATAAAGATCATTTTTTACAAAAAAGAAAAAAGAAATTCATTATTAACTTATGAAAAGAGCTGAGAGGTGAAATCTTTGCATGGCCTTTTTTCAGCATCACGTTCTATTATCCACCATACAACATTTCCAAAAAGTCAGTAATTTATTTTCCGGTTCTTAAGGACCATAAAATATACTGAGCAAAGAATACTGTTAATAACTCTAGATTTTGTGGTAAAATTAACAAAAGTAATTAATTTACTAAGGTGACCCAAATGTTTGGCATGCTAATATAGTTGAAGATTGTTTTCCTGAAACATTAGTTATGCTATTCTGTTTAACTAGAATCTTGATCACTGATTCTTGCCTGGGTTTTGCTAAAAGTGGACATATTCTTCATGATGCTGGAATTAATCTGGAGATTGAGATAAAATTGACTCATACTGTATCCTAATTTATCAAATGATTTTTAAGTTTTTCAACTACAGTTTAAATGCCCTTCAGTGGGATTCTAATCAGTTGATAATCACACACACAAAATAATGGTTTTTAGTGTTATATTTGGTTCCATAAGCAGAACCTAAAACAAGATTACCTGAGTTCCAAATTGGATTCCGAATCACTATACTATTCTGCATATGTTTTACCACTAGATTAATTTAATCTGTACAACAAGTTGATTCTAAGAGAGAAGTAGAAGACATAACGTTTTAATACATTATCAACGGGCATAATCTTAATCTTAATAGCA